AGATTTTCTATACCAAAAAAATCTATATAAACCTCTCTCAGAAAGTAACTTGAGGGCATGAAGAATGAAGACTGGGCTCTTCTTGACAAACAAGCACTCGGAGTTATCGATTGACGTTGTCCCGCAATGTTGCTTTCAACATAGAAAAGGAAAAGACCACGGCGGGTCTTATGGCGGCTCTCTCCAGTATGTATGAGAAGCCATCAGCCTCAAACAAAGTTCACTTGATAAGGCTATTATTCAATTTGCGGATGGCGGAATGGGCATCAGTGGCTCAAACACCTGAATGAACTCAACACAATCACAACCCAATTAAGTTCCGTGGAAATTGAATTCGATGATGAAATTTCGAGCTTTAATTCTCTTATCATCTTTACCAGACAGTTGGAATGCAACTGTTACAGCAGTCAGCAGCTCATCGGGAAACAACAAATTAAAATTCGACGATTTTCGGGATCTGGTACTGAGCGAAGAAATTCGACGGAAAGAATGGGTGAAGCATCAACCTTCTCAGCCTTGCACACGGAGTCCAGAGGGAGAACTTCAGAAATAAATTCAAATCATGGAAGATCCAAATCCAGAAGGGGAAAATCAAGAACGGGAAAGAAAGATTTTACTTTATAACTGCGACAAGAAGGGTCATTTTAAAAGAGATTGTCGAGCACCGAAGAAAAATACCATGCACGGAATCTGCCAACGTGACAAAGGAGACAGGTGATGTCATGATTCTAAGCTTCAACAGTCCGATTGAATCATGGATCTTGGATTCAGGGGCATCTTTCCTCTCCACCCCATGCCAAGAAATCATAGAGAACTATGTCAGTGGTGATTTGGGAATGTTCATCTAGCTGATGATGAAACCTTGAAGATCGTCGAAAAAGGAGACATCCGACTAAAGTTGTCAAACCATACCACCTGGACGCTGAAAGGAGTGAGACATATTCCTGGCCTCAAAAGAAATCTGATTTATGTAGGACAGCTTGATGGAGAAGAATAATACAACCTTTTCAGGCTGTGAAGGAAGATTACCAAAGGATCACTCGTCATTGCTCGTGGTAAGAAGACTAGTACTCTCTATGTAACCTCAAATTTAGAGAATATCATTGCAGTAGCAGATGCTGATGGAAAATCAAACCTATTGCACCAAAGGCTTGGCCATATGAGCAAGAAAGAGATGAAGACACTTTTGTCAAAAGAGAAGCTGCCAGATCTAAAGAATGTAGATGTCGGACTATGTGAGAATTGCATCTTTGGCAAATAAAAGAAAGTCAGTTTTGCAAAGATTGGCAAGATACCCAAGGCAAAAAAGTTAGAGTTGGTTCATACTGATGTATGGGGACCATCTCCAGTTCCATCCCTTGCAGGCTCACTATATTATGTCACCTTCATCGATGATTCAACAAGGAAGGTGTGGGTTTATTTTCTGAAGAAGAAATCAGAAGTCTTTGATACCTTCAGAAAATAGAAGGCCATGGTGGAAAACGAGACTGGTTTGAAAGTCAGCATTGAGGTCTGATAATGGAGGAGAGTACAGAAATAGTAGATTCAGAGAATTTTGTGAAAACAATGGGATCAAGATGGAGAGATTAGTTCCCATGACACCGCAGCAGAATGTGTAGCAGAGCGCTTGAACAGAACTCTGAATGAACGTGCCAAAAGCATGAGGATACACGCCGACTTTCCCAAATTGCTATGGGCTGAAGCTATCAACACTGCAGCTTACCTGATCACCATTGGCCCTCAGTTCCCTTGGATGGCGGAATACCAGAGGAAGTTTGGAGCAAGAAATAAATAAACCTTTCACACTTAAGAGTATTTGGTTGTATTTCTTATGTACACATAAACACTGCTAAAAGAAGTAAATTTGTTACTAAGTCCAACAAATATGCCTTTGTTGGTTATGGCGGTAATGAGTTCGGTTACCGTTTTGGGACTATGAAATCGGAAGATCATCATAAACAGAGACATCATTTTCAATGAGAATGTGATGTACAAAGAAGATCAACCATAGAATCAAGTAGCTCAAACACCGAAGCTGAAACAAAGAAATTTGTTGAGTTCGAGGAGATTTCTGGAAATGATGTTCAGATCAGTCCTAAAGCAGTTCAAGAAGAACCAGGCACATCGGAACTAAGACCTCCTTCAGAATTCCTAAACCAACCAAGCGGTATTCTCCTGCTTTGCACTATTTGTTGCTAACTGACAATGGTGAACCAGAGTACTATGATGAAGCAATGCAAGTGGAGGATTCAGTCAAGTGGGAGTCTTCCATGAAAGATGAGATGGACTCGCTTATGTCAAATCAGACATGGGAATTAGTTGAATTAACACCAGGCAAGAAAGCGCTTCATAACAAGTGGATTTACAGGATCAAAGAATAGCACAATGGGAGCAAACGCTACAAAGCAAGATTGGTTGTCAAAGGCTTTCAGCAAAAAGAAGCTGCAGAGAATTTATATCTTGAGCAGTTAGATGTAAAGACAGCTTTCATTCATGGTGATTTGGAGAAGAAATCTATATAAGGCAGCTAGAAGGCTTCATAGAGGCAGGAAACAAAAACATGGTATGCAGGTTGAAGAAGAGCTTACATAGTTTAAAATAAGCTCCTAGAAAGTGGTATAAGAAGTTCGATAGCTTCATGAGTAGCAGTGGTTTTACCATATGCCAAGCAGATCATTGTTGCTATATCAAGAGGTTCGACAATAGCATCATTATTTTATTATTATACGTTGATGACATGCTCGTTGCAGGCTCAACATGCAAGAGATTATAAACTTGAAGCAAAATTGTCGAAGCAGTTTGCTATGAGGATCTGGGCATTGCAAAGCAGATTCTTGGGATGAGGATAAAGAGAGACACAAAGTCGGAGACTTTGATGTTATCACAGGCTGAGTAAATCAACAAAGTACTCTCCAGGTTCACATGCAAGATGCTACACCAGTAAGTACACCTTTAGTTGTTCATTTTAGACTCTCCAAAGAACAGTCACCAAAGACGGACGAAGAACGTGCACACATGGTGAAGATGTCGTATGCCTCAGCAATTGGAAGTCTGATGTATGCCATGGTTTGTACCAGACCAGATATTGCTCATGCAGTGGGTGCTGTTAGCATGTACATGAATAATCCAGGAAAGGTACACTGGAAAGTAGCCAAATGGATCCTTATATATCTACGGGGTACCATAAATAAATCACTTTGTTTCAAAGGTGGAGATACGATACTAACATGCTATGTAGATGCTGACTTAGCCGGAAATGTCAACATTAGAATAAGCACTACAGGGTATGTCTATACTCTAAGAGGAACTGCAGTGAGTTAGGTTTCTCAACCACAGAAGATAGTTGCTCTCTCCACAACTGAAGCAGAATATGTCGCTGTTACGGAAGCTAGCAAGGAGATGGTTTGGCTCCAAAGTTTCTTGGAAGAGTTAGGCAAGAAACAAGAAAACAATATCTTGTATTGGGACAATCAAAGTGTTATCCATCTAGCAAAGAATCCATCTTTTCATTCCAAGACGAAGCACATACAATTGTGATATCATTTTATTCGGTCTCTTCTGGAAGATGGGATTTTGAAACTGGAAAAGATTAGTGGAGCTCAAAATCCGGCAGACATGTTGACAATGACGGTGACCACAGATAAACTGAAGTTGTTTTCAGCTTCAGTTGGCATGCTAGAATAACAAGACTGGAAAGGTTGCTGCATCGATCGAGGTGTGAAGACAGATTAAAATCAGTCTTCAAGTGGGAGATTGTTGAAAATATTGTTAAAATGGTTTTCAAGTTTGGCAACCAACTTTGAAAAAATGGTTTTCAAAGTTTGGTAAATGTTTCTTTAAAAAATAGTTTTTCAAAGTTTGGTAGATGTTTGTTGAAAAATGATAATGGGATAATCACAATTAATCCCTAGGCTTTAGGGTATTTACAAGATTAAGTCCTTAAGCTTCAACTATAAATACCCTAGCTCATTTAGCTTCAAAATCATCCCAAAAATCATTTCTTTCTCCCTATACTAGAGAGTTTTCTTGTGAGTAGTGAGTGTTTTGTAAACACCTGTAAATTTTCTCTCTTAGTAAAAGATCTGCAGCAGTCCGGAGACATAAACAAATTGGCTGAACTCCGTTATCAATTTCGGGTATTATTTTTCCGCTTTTATTTCGCATTCTCACTAATCTGATTATAAGGAAATTACTTGTTACTCGTTTATTTCCCAACACTCAATTTGTCCAATAAAACCTCGGGCATTTGTGAGATTCACAACTAACCAGTCTTGAAAGTCCATGGTTAGAAACACGTGCAATTTTTCAGGTTTCAGTATATCACTCCAAATAGAAAGGGCAGATGGGCAAAATCTCAATAAATGATGAACATCTTCAACCGGGGCATTGCACAACGGGCATTATCAATAATATTTGTATTATCTTTTTAATTTAAGTAATTATCTTTAAATTAAGAGATTAACTACATGATTGATTATTTATGTCTGTGTTTTGTTTATTTTTCTTAACTGATTTCAAAAAAAATATAATATATAGTCATTTTTATTTGTATTTAATTAAACTATGGTCATCACAGATTAACCATCGTTAGACTATTAACGATTTGCTGAGCTAAAAACGATAATTAGATAAAATAAAAAAATACATCATTTCTACGTAGATTAGATTAACTACATGATTAATCACTTATGTTTATGTTTTGTTCAATATCTTCATTGATTTCAAAAGACAAAATATATATGATCATTTTTATTTTTACTTAATTAAGATATAATCATCACATATTAACTATCGTTAAACTGTTAGTGATTTTATGAACTGACATGATAATTAAATAAAATAGAAAATATATCATTTCTACGTTAATTAAGAAATAAAAAAAAAGCAATTAATATAAACATAAAATGATAAGGTATCATCAACTTTTCTTTTTCTATAAATCCTTAAAATAAAATCCCTTTAGAAATACTTTTCTTCAACACCCATTTAGATTCAAATTTCAAGCTGAGAGTTTTGTGTATACAAAAAATCAATAGTATTCCAAATCCACAAGAATGGACTCTCGAGAGCAGCAGAGATTTACTTTGTGTCCCATTAATACAGTGTCTTAATAACAAACAAAGTAAGCTATTAATCTCACTCTATCTTAGACTGCAGTATGTCGACCTTCGTCGTCCTGACATGTTTAAAAATCACAGGAGACTCATTCACACAGCACCACTGCCCGATCTTCAAAGACCGACATCGGATTGTAACAAACATCTCACAACCAGCCGATCATCATCAAACTCAGGATGCTTGCTCTCACATAGACACAAGTACTACCCTACAGTATGGCCTTAGTTTTTGATGCCGATGCAGTAACCATTCAACAGCAACAGATGTTAAAAAAATTCCCATTCTTCTACAGCTCTTTCTTGAACGAAATAATACGTAATGAAAACACATACATCTGATTTACGATTCCTTTTCTTCAGCCACGCTACGAGCTTGCTGAACTTGGATAGTGTATTGCCTTTGAAGATCTCTAAGCTTGTTAAGTAGTTCCTGGAACGTCGGCCTGCACTCTGGATCACTGGTTTCCAGGAAGTCGTGGTTCCATATATCAGATCAAATTAGCAAATTGTATCATAATTCGATATCATAATAACACGAGATGTAAACTGGATTTAAGTCTGCAGGTAAGTCGTTTTAATAACTGATGTACTACCTAAGCCGCTGTCCTAAAATGGCACTTAAAAAATTGAGTCCATTATTATGATTGCTAATTGAATTGTAAAGCCGAATTTGATTAACATAATGTCGTCCTTCAATTAACTTGCATAGTGATAGATTACAACTAAACTTCAAGCATCAGAATTATAAGGAGATACGAACCTGTGCCAGCAAATCTCGATCATCGAAGCCCACCGTGGGTCTAGTTCCTTCGGAATCTCTAATCGTTGGTTCATGAAACCTACAGCTCCAATCAACTGCAAAAATTCTAACCAAACAGTTATTCATACATGGCAATGCCTTTGGTCTGTAAAGGAAAATTCCACTTAAACCTTTCACACAGATAGCCAAACAAACATTTTTCTTTTTCTTCAAAGTAGAGTACAGGGGTAGTATAACCGGGAACCGGTTAGTACAGTGGTCCAACCATATAAGTTGAACTGGAAAATTAGAGAACATGCCAGAACCCATAAAAGGCTGGAAACCGGAAAAACTGACTAGAAACTAATAACCAGATTTTTTTTTGTTTTTCCCTTTATTAATTTTTGTAAAAAAATATTGGGCATTTTAATTTGGTTTGGTTCAAAATTTTATTCTTTTTTCAAATATAATTTTTCCTTTTTTATATTTTTTATGAATTTTTCTAAATTATTATTAATTAATATTTTAAAATTTCAAGACCAGTTATTTTAACCATGGTTCAAATACAGGACCTTGTATCTATAAGATAGCATTTGGTTTAATGATTTTGAACTCTTCGGATAAGAAAGACTTAAAATCGTTTTCTAATGAAACTATACCTGCATTGAGTTGTGACTACCCCAAGGTATCTTCTCCGTGGCAAGCTCCCATAATATGACTCCGAAACTATAAACATCGGACCTGAGGGTTTCATGGAAAGAACGAGAAATAGAAGGTCAGCGGTGAGAGAAACATCAAATGTGATTTTTTCGGGGGGTGGGGGGTGGGGGAATGTGGGACAGGATTTGCTTGTGCAATTGAAAAGGTGAGGAAAGGAAGCAACATACTTCTCGTCGGAGGTTTCACTGCGAAGAACTTCTGGTGCCATCCATTGAGGCTACAAAAAAGACATGGTACTTGTAAGTCCACAGACAAAAGTTATGCATCCTCACAAAAAGATATAGAATAGATTAATATTATTGATGAAGGCTAATAAAGGCTTTCAGTAAATACTGTTCCTTTCCCATTCATTGTTGAGAGAAATGTTTCATGCTTGAGACGTGACAAACCAAAATCGCCAACCTGTTTCAAATTGGAATTTCGTTAACTTTTACGTCAAGTAAACAGAAAGTATCATCAACAACATGATGTAAAAGAAAAGTCTAAAACTGGATTTGCAGAAAAAATGGATGCAGATAACTAATGGAAACCTTGACAGTCCAATTCTTATCAACTAGAAGATTTGATGACTTCAAATCACAATGAATTATAGGCGGATTGCAACTGTGAAGATAATTCATGCCTCGTGCCTGTGAAAGTTCAATCAGTAAGATGAATTGACAGAGGATATGGCTACTCCAGTTAAGGAAAGAAGAATGAAATTGAAAAAACAAATGCAGACCAACACATGATGTCTTTAGACCCATATTAGCTTGAGAATCATCATGAAATTCAGAAAACTTAATAATAATAATAATTCAAAGCTACTTGATACTTGCAATATCCAAAGCCATATTAACACGCCGTCTCCAACCTAATTTGGTAGTATTCTTTTGTAGTATGTCAAACAAGCTCCCACTGCATCAATAAAACATAAACATAAGCTTTCATCAATCCAATAAGTATAGAAGATGCATGAAATGTCCCACAAAGCATCAAATATATAATGTGGAAGTTCAAAAAAAGTGTCAGCACGGAAAGAATCTCTAAAATAAAGTTGAGATCGAACCGTGGAAGGAACTCTGTGACAATGCAGAGACGTTCAGATGAAACAACAACTCCCATGAACAGCAGAACATTTGGATGCCTAAGTCTTTTCGTAAGAGATACCTTGAAAGGCAAAAGCAAATTAGTATTAGATAATTAGATGTATTTGAAAGAGAAAGGAAAATATACAACTAAGTTTGTGAACAAGGTGAAATAACTTAACAGTAAAGCTTACCTCCTGTTTAAAGGCATGTATGACATCTTCTGAATATTCCTGCTTTGAGAATACCTTGATTGCAACATCCTGAAATAACATGAATGCGGTGATTTACATAAATAATGCGATTACTATTATTTTTTCATGATCTCTACAGAGTACAAGGACTCGTGTATTGCAATTACACCAGCAGTTCCATGAACCATTACCACAGGAATGCCATGAGATCCTCAAAAGGATTCAGCATATTTCATATTGCACAGTCTATATTGGACTTGAGCATCATATTTAGGTTTGACAAACCTATATTATACAATAACATATAGAAAACTAGCAGAGGAAATCCTAGTCATCATCCTTAATTTTATAAACATCTATTTACGGATGCGTTCAATTTCATTAGATGGAAAAAAGCCAAAGTAAATCACGATCCATCTTATCCCAAAAATTTTAATTTAGATTTATCTATATGCCTTCTCGAAAATGCAGAAAAGGGCAGAACGTACTGATTCAAACCACAGGCCATGATAGACAGTTCCACAAGAACCTGCAAGGAAAGAAGGAACATAAAGTAAATATTATTATATTATCTACGAAAAACATTACCCAGAAATAAATACAATAAAATGAAACAAGGTAAAATGAGGACCAAGCTTTGTTTCAATGACCAAAATCTCAGTCACTGAAATGATCGTCTGGTGAACATTTGGGTTTCATTCGTGTGCTTTGGTATTATCCAAATCAAAGACAAATGAAGAAAGATGAACCAATGTGAAGTTTCAGACTTCTATACATAATGGCTTCAGTGAGTAATAAGTTTATAATTCATTCATGTCTCCAAATTGTTCACTTAAAAAAATTACCTTGCCCAATTTTCTCTCCAATTGTCAAGTCTTCCCACAAGATTTCATAATCGAAAGAATCAGTGTCCATGTCAACTCTATTAACAGCAATACTGCTAGTGCTTCCAAAGCTGCTGACACTGCTGACACTATTGACATTAACAGAGGATGACCAGGAACCCGATGCCTCATTATTGACTGGAGCGTTGCCTTCATTAAGATGGCCTTCAGGTTTTAAACCATAATTTGGGCATTTTGGTAGAAATGACTCGTTCTCTTGATCATTATCTGGCCCAGGCCATACGATATGAGTAGTCCCTGCCTCTGATCCTTCTCGATCATTCCCTTTCCAAGGCCACGATATCCCTTTCTTACCCATTAAGGTCATAATCTTTTGGATTGCAGGTTTGCTTTCACGCTCGTCACCATAATCTCGAAAGGTGTTTACTGGGGACTTCTCATCCCACGGAGAAAATACACCAAAGGCAGATGGGTATAATTCTCCCTTAGGTGTACTAGCTCCACTAAAAGCTGCATTTTCTTTACCATCCGAAAGAGCTGCAATGGAGACACCTCGCTCGGAACAATGACTATCTCCATTTCCCCTTTCACGATCAACACAATTCTTTCCCGTCTTAATTCTGGGCTTCATTTTGTTGCTCAGCCTGGACGCCTGCATTCGTAACTTAATAATCAACCGAAGCCAAACTACAAGTACATATAATAATACTAAAATCCAACCTCAACACATTAAAGTTAAGGAAATAATACCAAATTTGTTATTTTTGAAGCAATTGCAGGTTGCAAAGGTTGCTGAGTATCAAGACCAAGTTTAGACGAGACAGCGATTTTAGACCGGCTAAAGGTTGAATCTCCCTCTAGTAGCATGTAAGCCGACATTGCAACTTCCTTCTCTTGCAAAGGTCGAGAACCACTGGAGACACAAATGATCCCAACTAAAGAACCATCATCGACATCGACATCATTATCGCCATCGTAAAAAGGAGCTTTAGTTACATTAGCCGAAAAGCTCTCCCCCATTTTATTCTTAAATGGAAATTGCCCAGTCCAACTCTCCCCCATCATAACACGAAGAACTATGTTATGCGCGATGGCGAAATCCCTCTGATCAACAAGAAGCTCAATGGCATCTTGCCCTAAAGCCTCTGCCTCTGAATAACCATAAAGTTTTTCAGCAAGTTGACTCCTGGAAAAAAAACATAATTTAAAAGATAAAACTACCTAATAGCTAATAAACAAGATTAAAACAACATCATTAATTACTAATTTGGAACACAAAAACTTGGTCTTTGCAACTGACAAATCGAAAATAAAAGAGACATCTTTTTCGCTTACCAATAAATAATATGGCCACTAAGATCAAATATATGAACAGCTTGTCCCAGAGACAGAAAGATATTTAAATACTGGCTGTGCCCAAAGCTCCCGGTTCTTTCAAGAGCTCGTCCTCCGCCGCCGCCGCCGCCATTAAGGTTGCCTTTGTTTCTGCTCTCCCTTTGCAAGGGAGACGAATGTCTATAGGAAGCCGACCCTTTCTTCCAAGCAGCATCCGTGGCTGCTTTCCCCGGGAACCGCGGCCGTCGAGGGGAAGTAGAGTGGGATCTTTGATGAGTTGAACTCGGCTTCGAGTCGCCACCGGATTGTTTCAATGTCGAGATTTCTTGCTTGAGATGTGCATGCCCAGCTTCCAGTACTTGGATCTTCCTCAAAAGCTCCTCCGATGAAGGGGTTTCCATTTTCGCGTCAAACAATCAAAATCGAAGCATTGGGGCTTCAAATCTTTGGTGAAGATTAAAGATTAATGAACTATCTCTCTATTTTTCAGAAACTTTCCTCTTCAAGAGGTCAAATTCGAAAACTGAGAGACTAAAAATTTCTCTTTTTGGGCGGTGGTGTCTGCGTTCGGTAAGCGGCTATTTTTCTAATGTTAGATATTTTGATGATTATGTGTAAGATCTTTTTTTCATTCTACAAAAAATCCATGAATGTTAAAAAGGGGAAAGTCCAAAGCTTTGGAAAACCATTGCATGTTTGTCAATTCCCAAATGATAATACCGCTTGATTTTCGAGAAAACAAAATGGTAAAAGTGCCTCCTAAGTGCCTCTGAATTTTAAAATTATAAATACCTGTCCTTTATCGTAACAAGAGAAGCAATTTAATCGGGTTAATTTCAAAATTCATAATTTTAATTGATATGATAATAAATTTGAACTTTAACTTCTACATATTATGCATTCTGATTTTAAAAATATAAACTACAATCATGATCACTGAATTAAAGATATTTAATTTGATATTTTTTTTAATAATACACTTAACAATTTAAATGATTTCAATCAAGTTATCAACAGTTGACATTTGATAGATGGGGTGTTGCAGTTAAAAAATTGGTATAATTACATATTTAGGTCTTATTATTTAATTTTTTTATCAATTTAATTATAATTATAATTTAATTAAAAATTAATCATATAATCAAATGGTGACATGTATGATTATTAAGGACTAAAAGTGTGATTACATCAAATTTTAATAGAGACTAAATGTATAACTATACCAATTTTTAACTATCACATCATATTCTCCATTGAATGTTGAGACTTCTTACTTAATTAATATCGCTTAAATAGTTAAGTGATTTGATTGATAAAATTTAAAGAAATATAATTAAATTAAAATCTTTCCATAGTTAAGTAATCATGGATGCAATTTACCCTTAAAAAATTAACATATAATTTGTACTCTAAAAATATTGAAGACAAAATTCCAATCTCATACCTTAAACTTTCGTTGGTGAGCATTTATTCATTTAATTTTCATCTTTATCCAGCTATTATAAGTTATTTTAATTCATATAGATGAACAATTTAGTTTCCTATTCGACCCAGTTTGATTTTGTCAACCATGAAATGGATAGTTCATAGTTTAATATTGTTGACTGGTAAGGTGGTCAAAAACCGCCGGAGATGGTCCGACTGTTACCCGAGCCATGTAGAAGATGATCGTTTATTGGCAAAATGGTCAATAAATATACATCATAAAACATTAGTTAATAGGGATAAACATAAAATTTTATATCATGAAATATAAAAACTTATATAAAAATCTTAATAGTATGAAACTATAAAATTTTTAAAAATACGAAATTAAATCATTAATAAAAAACACAAATAAAATAATGAAATCACATAAAATTTAAAATTTCCAGCCCAAGACTATTTAAATACTAGCAATTGCCGGGCGATGCTTCATAAAGCTGCTGTCTTGGATTACATCAAAATGCTTGGTTCAATAATTGATGTCCAGTTCCTTGAAAGAGAAGGGAATAACAGATGTACAATGACCTTTACACCCCTATATAAAATTAGGGATTTAATTGTGTCGAGAAAATGTTAAAAAGCTTCATTGCTTCACATCTTTCTAGCTTTATTCTTTTTGGCTTAGGAGATAGGTATTAGATACCTTCACAAGCAGAACCAAGGGCGTAGGCAAAGTGAACAGTACATATGTTTCTCTCCCCTTTTTCATTATTCTTTCCTAGGAATGACAATTTAGTCCGAAACTGTATTTATATTTGTTCTCGACATATTTCGGACATGTATACTAAGTTATCTTCTCTAAAGAATGCTCGCAAACATCATCTATATATCCGAAATCCGAATGTCAGAGTACTTGACTACATAAAGTTTCAGCAAACACAGCAGAATGGGGTTAGGGATAATCTAATGTAGATGAATATGCTACAGTTATGATCATGAGAAAATCTAGTCCAACTCTTATGATACGTAATAGGATACATGTTGTGGCGGGAAACAGCTTCACCATCTAACTGCAAACTCACTAACACAACGGCTTTTTTCGATGTGGAACGTACCGGGAGATAATGTGCAATGGTGTTTCGATATGAGAGTAGACCTGAATTCTTCAATCTGTGTACCATCATTAGCTGAATCAGGTGGCTCTAGGTGATGTTCGTGTACAAGCCATCCAACCGGGATAAGCAACGGTTTTGTAAACTGCAGAAAAAGAACTCGGATTGAATCTGATGAAGGCTAAAATTTCAAGAATCTCAACGGCAGCTAACCTAATCATCGCTCTTTGAGCCTCTCCGAGGTGCAGGAAGTTCGAGGATAATTAAGAAATAACATCTTTCCGACTCTCTGACATATTGGACCTCGCCATTCATGAGCTTCAAGATTTTCCTGCTCATGCTCAACCCTATCCCCTCCTGTGTCACCCATCGACTGCTATGGAACATGTCTTGAACCAATTCGGGAGGAAGGCCTTCACCGGGGCATACCATCCTTCAGAAATACACCGGTGTTTGTGAAATTAGCAACATGAAAAAAAGGATTCACATCATCAATAGTCTAGGAGAAAAGAACAAATTGTAAAGAAACCACAAATAAGAGCCACGAATAAGATTTTATGACGTAAACTGTAACTTGAGTTCTACATGTTTGAATTCCACATTAACTTACACTAATTTGCAAAACCATGTGTTCTGTAATATTGTCTTTTGCTTTAAAGTCTATCCAATACAATGATAGTGTAGTTTCTCCTTTTATTCACTTACGTTAGCATAACCGTTGACGCTTACCTTATGAAATGCGTTGAGAAAAAGCAAAATACCTGAATTCGGTATGAACAATAGTGATTCCATCAGAAATTTGCTTCATAGTTGGACGAACATGAATCTCTACCCAACCATCATCCGATGGCGCATAAAGCACCATATTCAACAAAAAACCGGCCAATACTTGTTGAATCCTTGCTTGATCACCATAAACAGACAATGTTTTGATCTCCTCGGGAATATCTCGAATTAACTGCAAATTTCTTTCCCTCAGCAGTAGCATTACTTGGCTAACAACGGCATTTATGACACCCCCAAGGGAAAATTCAGCCTTTTCAAGCTCCACATAACTAAAACCAACAAATGAAGCCAAGAATTAGATCATGTCTTCCTAACTAATGAAATCATGTTCGATCTTAATAAAGTAGAAATCACACAAGCACGAGACAAAGTGGAATACAATTTTGGTCCAAAGATTCAGCAATGTAACCTTGTGGTCTGGATTCCGTTTCCCGAAGCTATATTGACTAGAGAGAATACAGATACAAAGTTTAAAAGAGATTCATGATCAATGCCTCACTATGGATTGAACATATGTGTTTTTGGTTTCGATCTCACTGTTTTGTTAGAATTAACTTTCAAACCAACCAAGAACAGAGTTTACATAAACATTTCCAAACCGGGATGTTGCAACAATATCCTTTAAGGTAAGGCATATACATGATACAACTATGATGAATACAGTACTAGAGAATAACTTCCTTGTGCATTTAAGATTCCAATGCAGTAATCAGCATTCGGCTCTCAACATTCTGATTCTAGATGCCAATGCAATTGCATCCATAATCAAGAAATAATCTGATAGATGAACTTGTCAGAGATGAATCAAGTTCAATAGTCTAGTATCAGATGTATGTTATTGTTCCCTCAAAGTTCTAGAAATCAAACAATTGAGACCGATATAATTCCGGATGAAAATGCATGTCGAAAGAATTTATTACTAATTTGGCTAGGAAACTTACCCTTCCTCAATGCTCTCCAGATCGACATCTCTGATAATCTTCAACATTTGCTTCTCACAAGCAACACTAGTCTCAAGAAACTGCTTTTGGTCTTCAGTCAGCTCTGTAGCTTCCAAAAGTGAGGTCGTGAAGCGGATTCCGTTCAAAGGACTCTTTATTCCCTGGCAAATGTAGGTTAACTCTTTCATCATGGATAAGCACTTTTTCTCTTGTTGCCTTTGGACTCTCAATGCTTGCTGCAGTTCAGGAGTTGCAATCTGCAGGAAGCAAAAGGCTCCTACGATCTGGCCATCCATGTTGACTCTTTTGTTTGCCGTCAAGAGCGCCTGGACAAATTTCCCATTCCGGTCGAAAAAGGCGAAAGGGAACTTATCTTCCTCCTGCCCTCCAATGGCACTGTGTAAAACAATCATGAATTTCGTCAAAGCATCTGGACCCTTGAGGCGACAGCAACTACCAAAAACGTCACCAAGCAACATTTTCCCTATGACTTCCCCTCGAAGCCACCCGGTGAGCTTTTCCATGGCAGTGTTCCACTCCAAGCAACATGTGTTTTCATCCGACACAAAAATTGGTGGGATCAACGGATTGGGACTATGAACAATGGCCTTGTAATCACCTTGTATGTGGATGAATTTGTCCATCACCGCTTTTTGACCAGTCACATCCTGACCAACAAAGCAAACTCCAACTATATTATTGGTGTAATCCTTACTAGAGCAAGCATTGACAACCACATATATAGCCTTTTCCCGATCTTCTAAGCCAAAAGTCCGCAATTTTATCTCTACATTTTTATCTTCTTCACCTGCATCAATTGAGGCAACATAAACAAGGTGTACGAAGGGGAAGGTTATATTCCCATAAACGATACATGTGGAAGTGAAACCCTATAAACTCAATTTAGTGCTTATATTTTGTACAATTTGATGTAGCTTTCAATGTGCATGAAGGTAGTATCAAAACTCAAAACTGCAAAAAACAAAACTCTCTCTAAATTGATCCTTACTTTTGCTTATTTGGTCCCACTCTTATCGTTATAGTAGCATGGTTATATAAAATAAAAAGAACAAGATGACATATGTGACGAGAATTACCTTGCAAAGCATGACTAAGAAGCCTGTCGACAGTTTCTTGATAATCCTTGTAAACAAGATCATAAACCAAAGACTTCTCCATTGCTTCCTCAACTGACAGTCCTGTCAATTCTGCAACTTTTTCATTCCAACCATTAATGCGGCCTTCAACATCTACGGCGAATATGGGAGCAGTTGCAGTCTCTATTAACCTCACC